TTTTTATAAATTTATTTTAAGTATTTAACATCATTATAATTATCCTTAAGTTAATCAAAAATTAAATCACTAGAAAATCACTTGCTTTAATTTGGATTCAGGTGAGTGCTTACGACCCATTTACTTTGCGAATTTATCGCCAACATTTGAAACGTGTCAACAAAGTGAATAAACCGTTTTACAAGTTCCGATACAAATTGCCGCAAATTGTTCTATTTTTGACTGAAATAAATGCAAATGCTGGCAAGAAACTTCAAACAAAGTTGCAAAAGCTCTCAAAAGCAGAATAAACGGTTGTGGATTTACAGTGGCGAAGTTCGTGCAAGATATGCGCAGCGTAAGGTCAAAACGATACGGCGTCGCAAAAGCGAAAGCCAAATGTAAAGAGAAATAAATGCAGCAGCTGCAAAGGAAATTTTGAATTGGAGCAGTGTATAACTGTGCCACCGAATCGCATAAAAGTGCTTTGGCGAATAAAAGTGTGGCTGCAATTGTTCTGGCATTCGCCGTCTCCTCACTTTCAGAATTGCGACTGCCTGGACTTAATGTGGCAGCGAAACTGAGAACACACTGCACTACTTTGAGTATATTCAAAGCACTTTAGCTAAATATGAAAGGCGAAGTAATATTATGCACCCTATCGGTTGTTTGAATGCAAATTTGCCACGTGCTACAGGGCGGATGAGCAACATTTTTGCGCTTTGTTTGCTTTTAATTCGTAGCTTGGTGTTTATTGTTGAGGTTTCTAGGGTAAAGAGCGAAGAGCAATGCTACTTTAATATGAAAGCTTTGCACTCAATCGAAACTCTATTATTGGCATATCGTTTTCGAAACCTACATGATGAGCGTAAATAAAATTGCTTGTGTTTTTTAATTTTAACTTACCGAATGTCCAATATCGCCCATTGGACCAGGTTTGCCCGGCGGTCCGATCGGTCCAGCTTGGCCCGGTTTGCCGCGTCGTCCACGCATACCCTTCTCTCCTTTCTCCCCCTTGGTGCCGTTCATAGCCATGCCTTCGTAGCCGCCAGCGAAAAAGGCCTGCCCTGGCGGGCCTTCGGGTCCGCGATCGCCTTTCGGGCCGCTCAGGCCCCGCACACCTTTTTCGCCCTTCTCACCTTTGGAGCCAGGCAGGCCGGTCAAACCGTTCGACCCAGCTGGACCAGGCTCGCCGTTCAAACCGGGTGGCCCCTCATAGCCCTGCGGCCCGCGTGTACCCGGCGGTCCAGGTGGACCCGCTGGACATTGACATTGTCCACCGGCCGCGCTACTCGATGTGCCATTCAACGAATTGTCTGCATAAACAACTTCACCTGGTGGACCCGGTGGTCCGATGGGGCCCAATTCACCGGGCAGACCACGATCACCTTTGAGACCAGGTGCGCCGGGTGCTCCAGCCATACCCGGCACACCGGGTTGGCCTGGTTCACCCTTTTGCCCAGTACCGCCATGTACGCCCGCATGGCCCTGGAAGCAGAAAATCGTAAATGTGTTATTTCTCATATTATTACATAATTAATAAGTGAGCTCGATTTAATTATAATGTTATGCAAAATGATAGTTTAATTGCGTGCTCAGTATCACAACAAATAAAAATGGACTTCCACAAATTGATGGCAACATAAAAACAACACAGCTGTAACTCGCACATACTAACTAATCCGCCTAACACTAATGCAAATCGATGCTTTTGAAATGTGTTATTGTGATCACTTAACTTACCGCACACACACGCACGCACACGCACATTCATTCATAATGCAACAAAAACACACGCACTTGACCCTACATTTCAGCGTTAGAATAGCCACAATCGCGCATGCATCCCTGCTCCCGCGCCCGCTGCCGATGTGCGTAACTTGCGCTGTAACCTAATTTTCAAATTCAATTTTCCACTTGCTTAAATCAAATCATCCCAAACACGCCGCTTCGGCCAGGATATAACACAAATAAATTTATGCTCAAATTGCAGGGGCACGGCGAGTGACGAGCGGCGTGCTCGAACGCCAAAGAAAGGCATACATTTTTTCCAGCAATAAAAATTTTCAACAACCGCGGACATTCACATGAAAAAATCACACGCACTCGGGTACACGTACTGCCGATGTGCTGAAATCTGCATATATGCGCACACCAACAGCCAAGCGAAGCACTTAGAGCGCTGACTGCTGATTGTGGTAGTCATGGATGAGGTGGTGTGGGGCAGTATAGCACATAACAGCCAAGCGTCATGATTCAAAATGAGTTGCCATAAATCCGCACATGCTCTTGGCAACTCATTTATATGCACATTCACATACACAAAGAGTATGTACAAAGGTGTACGCGTATGTGTGGTTGTGCATACGAAGGTAGTCGAATCTCGTCAGCTATGCATCACTCCATCCATCCCATGATCCGTTTACCAAGTTGAAAGCTTGTTTGGCTTGTTTTACGCCGCTTGTAACTGTGGTTGATTTGCTCACCACACCGCCGCATGAATCTACCTACGACTACAACAAGAACAACAGCAATAAAATAGTGCATACATATGCCGCTTTTTAACACACATTTTATCTCTCTTATACTCTCACATATATGGTACATATGTACCATCGACCCGTCGACCCGTCGACCTACCGACATTGACATCGTCGCTTGCCTCGCTGATTTTGAAGGCTTCAGCGCCTAATGAATTATTAATAAACCACATAACGAACACAGCAGTTCTGCCCGGCGCTGAAGTTGCGCCTTCGCCTCTAAGCACCTCAATGTGAGCGCGTAGCAAGTGTGCCATTTACCTTCACGCACACACATACAATTATACAACCGCCAGCTTTTGCTGTACACAAATAAGCGTCGATCATATCAATATTTGTATTTAACGCCATTTTATGCGCATCACTCATTTTTATAGGTTGCAAGCATTTTACCCAACGCAATGACTCAGGTGCGCGCTCATTTACTAAGGCAGTGCTGTTGTGTTGTGGGGGTTGGGGAGGCAGGTCATATTGAATGAATTGTAAGCCTCAGCTATTTAATATGAATATCTAAAGGGTTTGAGATGAAATTGCGTTTGTTAATACTTTCATAAGGCTCAAGGGGTGTGTTGTATTTAAGCGGCAGTGAAAAAATTAAATCCTTTTATAATGTTTATTATTAATTTTTAAAGCTTTAATTGCAAAAAAATTGAGTTATAGAAAACAATACTTTAATTCATGGTTTCGTGAAATTGTTGGAGAATGTTAATAAAAGTTATGGGTTTGTGTTGTACACATCCAACACAAACCCATAACTAATGAAAATAAAGGTGTCATAAATAAATAGTTGAAGGATTTATGATATACCAAAAATCCTTTTGGTTTACTGCTTTTACTCCTCTATATCAAAGTCAGTCTGTGAAATATTTTTATAATTGTTGGAACCACGACTAGAAACAATCAATGGAGCTCATTAGATTAAATTAGATGACACAGGATGCTATGCAATATGACCTTTGGTGTATTGTGCCTACCGCTCACTCAAATTACCTTATGTAATACAAGCGTGGTAATTACGGATGACTTTATTGCGTATTCCTCCGAATAAGGAAGAGCTGCTCCGATACCTCGACCAACTCTCCGACTATTAATACCGAATATAATACCTTTATTTTAAGCAGACGGTATACACCGCTACAATCTAATAGTTTTTATCTCTCGGTAACTTTTCAGAAAAACTTTCTGGCGATGTACAGACAATTGTAACCAGTGCCTATATCGTTTTATCTTTCTTCCTTTCGAAACTCTACCTTAATACACAGAGTGCCTGCGAAACTACCGGTAAAGAGATACCTACTAAATTTTCATGATTAGTAGTTTCTCGGGTACTCTATACTTTTT